ACAAGTGGAGACAGACAGAGACAAGTGGAGACAGACAGAGACAAGAGGAGACAGAGACAAGGTGAGACAGACAGAGACAAGTGGAGACAGAGACAGAGACAAGTGGAGACAGACAGAGACAAGTGGAGACAAGTGGAGACAGACAGAGACAAGGTGAGACAGAGAGAGAGACAAGTGGAGACAGAGACAGAGACAAGGTGAGACAGAGACAAGTGGAGACAGAGACAAGGTGAGACAGAGACAAGTGGAGACAGAGACAAGAGGAGACAGAGACAGAGACAAGAGGAGACAGAGACAAGGTGAGACAGAGACAGAGACAAGGCGAGACAGACAGAGACAAGGTGAGACAGACAAGGGGAGACAGAGAGAGACAAGGCGAGACAGAGACAAGGCGAGACAGAGACAAGGCGAGACAGAGACAGAGACAAGGTGAGACAGAGACAAGGTGAGACAGAGACAGAGACAAGTGGAGACAGACAGAGACAAGTGGAGACAGAGACAAGGCGAGACAAGGCGAGACAGAGACAAGTGGAGACAGAGAGAGACAAGGTGAGACAAGGTGAGACAGACAGAGACAAGGCGAGACAGAGACAGAGACAAGGCGAGACAGACAGAGACAAGGTGAGACAGAGACAAGGCGAGACAGACAGAGACAAGGTGAGACAAGGTGAGACAGAGACAAGGTGAGACAGAGAGAGACAGAGACAGAGACAAGGCGAGACAGAGACAGAGACAAGGTGAGACAGAGACAGAGACAAGGTGAGACAGAGACAGAGACAAGGTGAGACAGAGACAAGTGGAGACAGAGACAAGTGGAGACAGAGAGAGACAAGTGGAGACAGAGAGAGACAAGTGGAGACAGAGAGAGACAAGTGGAGACAGAGACAGAGACAAGTGGAGACAGACAGAGACAAGTGGAGACAGACAGAGACAAGTGGAGACAGAGACAAGTGGAGACAGAGACAAGTGGAGACAAGGGGAGACAGAGACAGAGACAAGTGGAGACAGAGACAAGGTGAGACAGAGACAAGTGGAGACAGACAAGGTGAGACAGAGACAAGGTGAGACAGTCTTCCCGGGACGACACCACGCTGCACGGGTCTCGGCTCCTCCCGACCGGCGCGTCAAGGAACCTCGTCAAGGAACCTCGTCAAGGAACCTCGTCAAGGAACCTCGTCAAGGAACCTCGTCAAGGAACCTCGTCAAGGAACCTCGTCAAGGAACCTCGTCAAGGAACCTCGGCCAAGAGGCGAGGACCTCTCAAGTTTGGGACGAGTTCTCAGTTGTTTATTTTTGTTATAACTTCCGACGCGTGCGATCGACTCCCTCCTCTCTCTCTCTCAAGCCAATTGCCCGGCGTTGCCGAACGCCGCGCGTTGGTTCTGGTGCCACACTAGAAAAAAAAAAACAGTCGATAACACCTTGGCTTTAAAATGTATAATAGGCGACGTTTCGGGCAATGGTCCTTAATATCAGAACCGACTAAAGTTTGTTTCAAATGTATAACTTTTATTTTTGCATAACCGGTAAGCAAATTTAAAAAAAACCCGGTAAAACCGGTTACCGATTTGCAATTTCTCGAGCAATTAACTGGGAAACGAGGGCAGCCTCGCCGTCGAGTGTAATCGTTGGCACACCGATTCGATTCCATCTGCCGGAGCGGCACGTCGAGACAACGGAGCAGAGTTTTTGTGTTTGTTTGTCCATTGCACCCCGAGCGGTATCAATGGTCAACCGGAGGCGTTGTTTCTCTGTGTGCCTATGTGTGTGCGTCTCTCTCTGTGTGTCTGTGTTATCTCTGTCTGCTTATGTGTCTGTCTATGTGTCTCCGTGTCTGTGTTTTGTCTCTCTCTCTTTCTCAAATTTAGCAATCTTTGGAGGAATGTTAAATCAACCAGGTAGGGTGTTGACTTTCATGTTAGCCGACTCTCTGTGTTGCGTTGCATTATATTTCTAAGTTTACTAGGTTTCATTCGTCCATGATGATGATGATTGCTTGTGTTGCAATCGAAACGTCGTGTGCTATTATTTAATTCATTTTTCTTTCTGCTTTACTTTACCGAAAGGACCAAAGAGTAATTCCTGTAGTCACGAAAGCTCCAAATCAAGTTTGGTCACCAACAGTTGAGAGTCATCCGGTCGGCACGGCGGTCGCTTGTGATGTGGGGGGCAAAGCGGTTGGGGGGGGGTGTTGCTCCCCCCCCCCCCCCACCACCTCTGCCACGTCGTGCGGTCGACCCAAACGCCACTCCGAGGCTCCCATCTACCGGGAGGCCCCTTTCTGCCAGCGGTGGCGCGGCGCGAGCGATTGCGGTGCTGCGCTTGGACACGTCGACTGGACACACGTCGAGTGAGACGACGTCGACCGAGACGTCGACTGAGAAAGGGAAGAGCCACGTCGCGAACCACGCCGGTGACTTCGGTCGCCATGCGGTTTTTTTTTGTCCCGTCGATAAAAATTAGTCTGCTCACATCCACTCTGGGCAAACGGTTACTGTGCAGGTGAACCGTGCAGGTGAACCGTGCAGGTGAACCGTGCAGGTGAACCGTGCAGGTGAACCGGGCAGGTGAACCGTGTCAGTGAACCGTGCAAGTGAACCGTGCAGGTGAACCGTGTCAGTGAACCGTGCAGGTGAACCGTCTCAGTGAACCGTGCAAGTGAACCGTGCAGGTGAACGCTGCAAGTGAACTGGGATGCGGGGGGCACAACGCTTCGGGTGCGCGGCGCCGTTGTTCTGTGTCGTGACTCGGGCCACAGCACCCACCCCCACCACCCCCACCACCACCACCACCACCCCCACCACCACCACCCCCACCACCACCACCACCACCCCCACCACCCCCACCACCACCACCACCACCACCCCCACCACCACCACCACCACCACCACCCCCACCACCACCACCACCACCACCACTACCTCCACCCCCACCACCACTACCTCCACCCCCACCACCACCCGGCGTGGTGAAGTATGGTCGCGTAACATCGAGTGCAGCAACAACAACGACAATCCACAACACAACACGAAGGGCGCACACCTTCCCGATCGCCACGCGAATTGACGGAACGTAGCAATCGTCCGGCTCTCTGTGGAGAGTTGGTGGCGTAGGACTACACTTTCGTCACTCTAGTCGAAAGTTTCCAGTTAGTAAATTACAAAGGTTCATATTTCCAGCCAACCCCCAAGTGTACGGTATTTATACATGTAAAAATTTCCCATGCAAATACAACAGCCACTTTGTAAATCCACTGCTGGATGAATGCCCGTCGAGCCGAGTCGTGGGGATTATTTGACCGTACACTTCGCCACGCTGGTTGGCCAGTGAAGGCCGTGGGGATACAATAAGACGCAGGGGGCATAGGGGTACAGTACAGTAAACACATTCATTAAGTCGCACTGCCATAGAATTCCCACCACGCAGCCTTTCCCTCCCACTATTTGACTAAGCGGTGGGTGGCATGGCCGTTTCCGCCATATCGAAGCACCAGGCTCCACCAGGCTTCACAAGGCTCCACCAGGCTCCACCAGGCTTCACAAGGCTCCACCAGGCTTCACAAGGCTCCACCAGGCTTCACAAGGCTCCACAAGGCTCCACCAGGCTCCACCAGGCTTCACAAGGCTCCACCAGGCTCCACCAGGCTTCACAAGGCTCCACCAGGCTTCACAAGGCTCCACCAGGCTTCACAAGGCTCCACCAGGCTTCACAAGGCTCCACCAGGCTTCACAAGGCTCCACCAGGCTTCACAAGGCTCCACCAGGCTTCACAAGGCTCCACCAGGCTTCACAAGGCTTCACCAGGCTCAAAGCCCTTGTCTATGAGGTCGAGGCTTGGCTAAAGTGGGGGACGCGTCCCGTGTGACGTTATATAGGAGTTTCACGCGTTGAAAGTGCGTCACAAAATCAGAATCGGATTTACTTAAACTGGGAGGAATCCGATAATCTATGAAGCTCTTTGTTCACAGATGGTGGCTGAGAAGGGATCACGTGACCGGGGGGACCAGGGTTCCCAGAACCCCCGTGCTTCTTAAGGGGGTAAATGCAGGGGGTGGCGCTAATGATTCATGGGAAAAAAATGATGCAAAAAATCTGCTTCATTTCAGACGCTAATAAATACGAACGTCAACGTAACGCCCCAACCTCATCTCTCACTTCTCTCTCTCGTTCTCAGCTCTCTTCTCATTCTCAGGACGCATCCATCTCCCGTCTACATCTCTTCTCTCATTCCACCGCATCTCTGCACACTTCTCTCGTCTGTATCTCCTCCGTCGCCTCGGGAGTTTCAACACCGAACGGGTCCGATGGATTGCCCCCCATCCCCGCTACCCGAATTTTTTTGCCACAGCGTTGGTAAATGGGGGGGGGGGGGGGGGGGGAGGTCCACACAATAATAGAGGCAGTGTTCAATCGGCAGGGACCCGGCGTTATTGTGCGAGCCGAGCATCGCGATTGAGAACAGTGGCGTTCCCTGTGTTGCCGCGTCGAGCGACTCCAACCGTACGCGCGCGTGCCCGACGTTTGTAAATTACGTTACAAACTCTTCTTTTCTTGGCGATGGGAGAGGGTGCAAACAATACAACATATCCGAGCGAATAGCGCATCAGCAATCACAACAGCGATGGGTTCAGACAAAGGGAACCGGCAGAATGCGGGGACTTCGCGCAGCTATCAAAGCTGGCGGCGTTTAACATTTTTTTTTGGGAGTTGTTCGCTCGTGCAAACAAACTTCGGTTTCTAATGCTCGACGGCTGAACAATCCGATCGGAATCTTCGTCGCGCGCAAGCTCTCTTTGTCAATTCCACTGCTGGATGATGGCCTCTCCCACGCTTTGCGGGTCGTGGAGGCTATTCGACCATACCTCGCCACGCCGGTCACGCCTATCAAACAGCATCGCCAATAAGTGCAATCGTCAAGCGTAACAAAAAAAAACCACGCAAACGTTCAGCCACGCACCACCAGACCAGACCAACAAGCGCGCGCGTTCCCACAAAACTCACCCTGCGCTCCGACAGCTGCCCCCACCATCACCATCATCAGCACCTCCATCGCCACCATCATCACCATCCTCATCCGCAGCAGCAGCAACGGCGGTGGCATCAGTGTTCGGGCTCCTAGGGAGAGGCTATCTAGCCCGGCGCGTCGTGCCTCCCGTGTGCGTTCTGCATGGAGCTGGGGGGGGTGACGCGCGCAAACTGCCTCCGACCCCAGCCGTAGCCGCGCGCTCCGACTTTTGTTGTTGATCTTGCAATTAAGTTCGTCGTGGTATGAAGAGAGGTCCTCTGGTTTGCTGCCCCGCCCCCTTCACGCACCTCCCTGTCTGTCTCTCTCTCTCTCTCGGTTCGTTATCTCCGCAGAGAGACGGGCGAAGGCGATGGACAATGAAAAGACTACGGGGAGGCAAGCGCGTGTGTTGGTGCTGGGTCCGCGTGCACGGGAAGGTGATGCTCCCGTGAACCGGAGTGAATGAGCGTGTTGTTTCGGGTTTGGTTGAGTGGGGGTTGGGTCGAGTGGGGGGTGGGGAAGAGGTGAGCGGTGGTGGTGGTGAGGGGAGGAGATGAGAACTGGGGTGGAGTGGGTGGGGGGCATGCGATGCGTGGCGCGCCCTGTGTGGATCGTGAGCGCCCCCAAGGTAAACCTCCCCGCTTTGCGCTTCTGCTCAATGGCTTACGACGACGACAACAAACAGCAAGGCTGCCGCTGGCTGCTTTGCTGCTGCTGCTGTGCCTGCGCCATGCAATTCTGGGGTGGGGAAGGGAAGAGGGGATGATGGAGAGAGGGTGGGGGGAGAACAGCAGTGGATGAGTAGACAATTGAATGTGATTACCGCGTGCTCCCGATTATAGGGCGCGCATTCTTCCCTTATTCAAAAGGCTAGGGCGGTCGAGGCGGTTGGGGGGGGGCGTCTTATAATCCGGTAGGTGTGTGCGTATTATAGTCCGGTAGGGGTGTGCTGTACACGTGTGTGTGTGTGTGCGCGCAACCAAATTTGTAGAACTTCATTTGCACCGGGAGCACGTTGTTGTGCTGCGTCTTAGTTTCCGGAGCGTTCTGATGAATCTCGAAAAGACGGTAAATCGTTGCGTTCAGGCGGCAAGGGATTAAGTACACGCGTTCAACAAAGAGACAAAGACAAAGATCCCCAGTATAGCCTGGCACAGACTATTGGGGCAAGTGCTGTGAGCGAGCACCTATAAAGGCCGGCACGGCACGGGAAGGGGTCGCCTTTGTCTCCCCAGTGGCGATGTTTGCGCACCGCACCAGGTACACCCTTGAGGCTGAGCCGACCTAGGGGAGGCCTAGGACCGGTTCAGATCATCATCACCGGTGTTGGCCGTGAGCGGGCATCGAAACACACACACGCGTGCGTGTGACCAGGCTGCTTAAGGGATTCTTTAGCTCGAAAACAGCGAGATGATGATTATGGTGATGAGACTGTGGGGGGTTGGCGAGTCACGCCGCCGCCGCCGCCCCTCACTGCCCACCCGAGGCGTGGTGCACAAAGCCGTGGTGGCCTCTGTCGGGGTCGGGCTGGGGGTTGGTGGTGATGATGAGATGATGGGGTGTGTGTGTGCGTGTGTATGATGGGGGGTGTGTATGATGGGGTTTGTGTGTGATGGTGTGTGTATGATGGGGTGTGTATGTGTATGATGGTGTGTGCATAAGCGGGAGTGTAGCGGTGAACGCGCTGCGCTACGAACCTAGCGACCCGAGTTCGATTCCCAATCATGGCCAACACCAGTGACGATTATAATCGATCTGATACGGATCTGGGCCATCCCCTATGTCGACTCAGCCTAAAATGTATACCTGGTGCGGTGTGTAAGCATTGCCACTAGGAAGACAAAGGCGTTCAGGCGTGGTGCTGGCCACCCACCCCCTCGTGTGCCGTGCCGGCCTTCATAGGTGCTCGCAAACAGCACTTGCCCCAACAGTCTGTTACAGCCTAAACATGAGGATCTTTGTCTAAGTCTTTGTATAATCGCCCAAATGCAATCGCTTTCTCCTGTTAATTAGCCAATTCAACGGCAATTGAACAACACACAGCACACGCGTGTCCATGCAGGCCATTAAGCAATGACAATACACACACCCACTCATTGTGTTTTTTAATGCACGGGACACTGCTTTTTATAAGGAGTGATTTGGCCAATAACAGCGGGTAATCGAGCAGCATTTGCTTAACAAGCCCGCCTTTTGATGCAACCCAGAAAGTCAAGTGTATATATATTTTTTAACCAGTTGAGAACTCCATAAATGTTACAGCCGATCCAGAGTTTGCCTGCTTCAACAGTCAGGTTTGTCTACCTACTGACCTAACGTCTGACTTAACTGCTGACCTAACTGCTGACCTAAATCCTGACCTAACTGCTGATCTAACTCCTGACCTAACTGCTGACCTAACTGCTGACCTAACTCCTGACCTAACTGCTGACCTAAATCCTGACCTAACTGCTGATCTAACTCCTGGCCTAACTGCTGACCTAACTGCTGACCTAACTCCTGACCTAACTGCTGATCTAAATCCTGACCTAACTGCTGACCTAACTGCTGACCTAACTGCTGATCTAAATCCTGACCTAACTGCTGATCTAACTGCTGACCTAACTCCTGACCTAACTGCTGACCTAACTCCTGACATGACTGCTGACCTAACTGCTGACCTAACTCCTGACCTAACTGCTGACCTAACTCCTGACCTAACTGCTGATCTAACTGCTGACCTAACTCCTGACCTAACTGCTGACCGAGACACCAATGGACTGTTCGACTGAAACAGATCTTCCCTCAACTGTGGAGGCATAGAAAAAACCGAATATCTGATTCCGAATATGTAGTTATACCTGAAGAATCCGATGAGCTATAAAGCTCTTTTTCACAGATGTCCATTCGGGGCACGGGGTAAGACCGTTACAACAACAATCAGTTACACAACAACACGACAGTGTCCATACTCTTTGGTTCTATTCGGTAAAGTAACGTAGGTAAAAAATAGAACAACAAAAAAATTCACGACGTTTCGGCCACAACACAAGTGGCCTTCATCAGGTGAAGGGATCAAACTGTCCAGAGGACAGCGTTGGAGTGAAGAAAGCTAAGCGCAGGTCGCCTCCTTTTAAGCTGTGAGGGGGTAAACAGAAAACGCCTTGACAAAGGAAATTAGCATACAATGTACTACTGTGAAAGCTTGGAATTAGCATAAAATGATGTTACACCACCTAGGAAGTTTGGAATGCCAATACTTGAATAAATATACTGTACCATTGAAAATTAGTTTAATGTTTGGTTCGATTTAGAACATCTTTCCAATGGTTGCTTAATTTGAAACCATCTTCTCGGTTGAAATTGTGTCTGTTTGTAAATCTGAATTGCCTCGTGAACAAATCTCTGATAAAAACCAGTGGGTTTGCAAAGAACCTTGGCATCGGAGAAAATTATATCGTGATCACCCACAGCGTTGGAACAGTGATCAGCTACAGCTTAAAAGCTGTCCAGCTTAAAAGACGCTGCCATGCTTGGCAGGGTTCACTCAAGCGCTGTCTTCCGGACAGTCCTGTTTCTTCACCTGAGGAAGGCTACTTGTGTTGTGGCCGAAACGTCGTGATAATTTGATTGTTATTATTTTTATTATGTTTATCTCCATTCTACGTGACTTTACCGAAAGAACCCAGAAGATGAATCCCTGCAGTCACGAAAGCTTTAAATCGAAACATCCCCATCCTACCAGACAAAGCCCACTGAGGTATTCACTTATTTTTTTCAAAAGCGACCTTGCCACAAATGAACCTCATGGCCGGGACCCCCGAGTCCCGTAAGCCCCCGGCTCTTGCATAAACTGCGTTGCGACGTCATTTTATGTCTGTTGAAGGCGAACGATACTGCAATCTGTTCTTCTCGAAGAGCTCTACACGATGCGCTAATCGAAGTTTCAAAGGTTTTTTTTTTGAGGAATTCGTCCTCGCTGCTGCGCTTGGACGAGACGACAACAGAACGATCCGCGCCAGGCGGGACACGGCGTTTCAGTGCGGGGTGGGACGGAGTCGCCAAAAATAAAACAAAATAATTACGATTTTGACTTTATTTATTTGGGACCCCGGGGTCCCGCAATAAGGTTCAAATGATTGGCTTAACAAAATGGCACCATCGTTTGGACATTTATAGCAACACATGGGGGGTGGGGGGGATACTCTAATGCGTCTTATAATCCGGCCAATCTGGGTTACCCTTCGGGTGGTTGGGCAAGAGACACGGGTTGGTGGTGGTGGTGGGGGGCTGGTTTTGGGACGTTCTCTTCCTGCGGCCGGTGATGTCTCTCGCGATGAGACAGACGATGGGCGATCCCTCGTTCTCGTGCGCCTGGAACTCCGCACAGATGGCGAATTGCTCGCGATTTCACTAATTAGGGTGCGGCGTTAATTGGCTGCAGATGCGCCCCCCCCACCTCCATCACACCCCCCCCCCCCCCCGGTTCAGCCCCACGCGCTCCTCTGCGTAAGCGGGAAACACGAGTGTCGATTGAGGAAATACAAAAAGAAAGACACGCGAATTTCCACACGGCGACGTCGAGCTCTCGAGTGTTTTTTTTATAATTTAGATGATGATTGCTGCCACTTTGTCAAAATCCACCGATGGATGAAGACCTCCCTCCACGCAGTGTCGGTCCCGCGCCCGCCGTTTGACCATACTTCCCCGCGGTGGCTGGTGCGGATTTGTGAAGGTGGCGGGGGTGCTGCCCACGACTGGTTCAGATGTATTACTCTCCACTGGCGCTAGCCGTAGCGATGTGCTCACCCAGGGCGCTACTTACTCCCCACGTTCTCAGGCGCCTCGAGCTCCTTAAGAAGAGCCGTGGTAACGTCACGCCTCAACCTCGCAGGCGATCGCGTCTTCCCATTTCTCACCCGAAAACTTCGTAAATCCAGGAAACATTTTTTTGGAGACGAGTGGGCCCAGCGAGCGGTCCGCGCGCGGTGTGAACTCGGCAGCGTGCCGCTAATTGAACGTCTCACAACGTCGCCACGTGACCGAGTCCCAATTAAAAACCAACAACGCCTCGGGGTCAAACTTCTGCTGTCCCCACCCCCTCCTCCTCCACCCCCCCCCCCCCCCCCATCGAGGACAAAAGGCTCCGCCGATTACCCGCCACGACAAAGGTGGTGTTACTTGCGAAGTAATTAAACGAATGACAATACGAAGTCGATGTATGTCCATTAAGTGATATCGCCGTTTATTAGCCTCCCCCCTCCCCTGCCTCGCCAAAATGTGGTTGCCGCTCCCCGCCCAGCCACCCCCTTCGGCTACAGCATCACTGATTGATCGACGGAGTCTTTAACACTTAAAACAAAAGAAGATTCCCCATATATAACTGTGTCAATGTGCGTGTTGTTGTTGTTGTTACAAAGCTATTGCAGGTAATGACACCATGGATACAACCGTTCCTCTTTGGACGTGAGAATACATTCACCCTGCAGGGCTATTCTAACTTACAAGGCTCTACGGTGGCGAGATGTTTACTCCCTCGCCTGGTATACAGGAGGTTGTGGGTTCAATGCCAACCCTGACACCTGCTATATATTTGGAGTTTGCATGTTTTCCCCGTGGTCACGTGGGTTTTTCTCCAGGTCCCCTGGTGCTTCCCCTTCGTTGAGCTATCATTTGTGATGGCCAGGTCGCTTCTGAAAAGGAGCTTTATGTCTCAGAAGGCC